CCAAACCAGCAGTTCTCCTGGCTCCCACATGGACAAAGCTATGGGTAGGCTAATGAATCTAAAATGTTCACATCACGGTATGATTCCACATTTGAATTTACTAGAAATCTGTTTTGTGTATAGAAGACTACATCTTCATCTACGATGATCACCTTATGTAGTCCACGAAAAAGTCTAATATATGCGGTAAGTGACCTCTATTGAACTCCTGTGTTTGCTATTGATGATCCATCATGCAAAATATGAGTGGGTGAGTGAAAACGTACTGTCGTGCTTTAAAGTTTACATATTATTTTTATAATTTGTAGCAGTTTTATTTTTCCACTCATAGTGTTTTGTGCGAAGCCATTTATACAACTACTTTTTTTATATATAAAAAAAACAGCAAAAAAGATCCTAATCTTTATTTTACACACCCCAGTTCTGTGTATTTCCCCCTTTAGCATCAATGACAGCTTGGAGTCATTTGTGGTAGTTGTGGAGAAGGTTATGTATATTTATTCAAAAGCTAAATTGGTGCATTCTTATTGATCTTACACTTTGGATCAGGGTCATCTGGGATATTTTCTTTTCATATTTATATAAGAAGTGCACATTCAGTTGTTTTATAAATGTCTTCACACAAACCACTAGCTATTAGTGATTAACCAAAAAATAATTTTAGTAAATTACAATTTTCTTTACACATTTGTTTTTAAATCCTAACATTATTCAGCCAGGCAATGTAAACTTTCAAGCACCACTGTATGTGTTGGAAAAGGATTGTGTTGGGATGAGTGTAAGTGTGGATTCATATCAATGCCATGATATGCATAAAGATAGACTGTTTGGTGAGTACTTAGTACTCTCGTTTGGATTTGTGTGGTAAGCTTATATGGCTGTTGGTATAGCATGCCCTTACTGGTTTACAAACTCGGCCTGTAACCTTGTAACTGTAACTATATTTATTGGCCTAATAATATCATGACTTATGCAATAAAAAAGGATAATAATCAAGATCAACTCTATGTTGCCCTAGTGTCGATGCATATTTTTATGTCTAAAACAGGAACCAGACCCCATTGGAGCAACTGCGATGGATATGAGCGCAACATCTGTGTTTGATGTCAGCATGACCTCAGAGACAGCTCTTGATCCTGCAGAAATAAGCTTTGTGCCAGATTCCAGCCCCTCCACCTCCACCACAGGAAGTTCATCAAGCCTCTCTAGCCAACCTAGAGGAATCCAGGAGAGGAAGTGGATAGTGAATGAGTCTAAACTCTTGGAGCTATTTTCGAATTGCCCAAAGTGTGGTTCTGCGATGTGTGACCTAAATCAAAATATAACAGAGTTTGGCAGTAGAATATATATAAATTGGCAATGCAACAATGGCCATATGGGACAATGGGAATCCTGTCCCAATGTACGTGGAATGGCAGAAATTAACCTCCTCGCAACAGCTGCCACTGTCTTTACTGGTTCAACATATACCGACATCTCAGACTGGGCTGGACTTTTCAACTTGCAGTTGCCCCAGAAAACAACTTTCTATAACATACAGTCAAGTTACCTTCTCCCAGTGATCGAAGAAGCCTACATACAACAGGAGGACATAATCAAAGCAAGATTAATTTTACAATCCGAGGAAGGTGAGGGAGTGCAACTATGTGGTGATGGCAGAAGTGACAGTCCTGGGCATTCCAGCAAATACACCACATATTCTTTCATGGATGACTCCACAAAACAGATTGTTGGGTTTGAGTTGATGCAGGTAACATTTCCTATTATCTTCCAATAATCAAAGCTTGATTCAATACTATATTGTAGATGTCATCATCCATACATTTGTGCTCTATAGGTGTCTCAGGCCTCAAGTTCTATCGCAATGGAACCATTGTGCTTCAAGAAAGCCCTGGAAGAGATCCTGAATGAGGGCATAGACGTAAAAGTGGTCACCACAGACCGGCATCCATCAATACGCAAAATAATGAGAGAGGAATATTCTAATATAATGCATCAGTTTGATCCCTGGCATGTGGCCAAAGGTTAGTTGACTGTTCTTCTTTATTGTCTTGTTGTTCTCAAATAACCCTATTTTGGTACTGATAAAGAAAAAAAATTGTGCAAGATGGATGCAAACGAAACTGAAACATCACAATGTGTCTTATATGGTCGAAATGAATGGTTGGCCCCTAGGCTATGCAATGAAAAGAGAAACGCTGGTATAACGTTTACCACAGGAAATAAGTGAACAACCGTATTTATGATTTTCTTACATTTTTCAGGATTTAAAAAGAAATTGATAGCGGCATCCAAAAGGAGGGATTGCAGTGATCTTGCTCCTTGGGTCCGGAGTGTCAGCAACCACATGTGGTGGAGCTGTTGCACCTCCAAAGGAGATGAAAAGGTACTCAAGTATAAAGACACCGCTCAAGTGATTTTCTAGATATAATGCACAGCAACCCACAGCTCTTCAACATGAAAGAAAACTGTATTGTATTACAGGTATTTAAAAGTGTGCCTCTATTGTCCTGTTCTCAGGAGCTGCTCAGACGATGGATGTCTCTCCAACACCATATCACTGGGGTCCATCGCTGGGAAGAGAATGGCACGGAATACAAATGTTTCCACCAAGATTTGTCTGCACAGGAACAGAGAACTAAGAGGTGGCTAAAAGTGAATTCCCCTTCCTTCCAAGCCCTGAAGTCAATGATGACGGACACACGTTTGCTGAAAGACCTACAACAGATGACACTATTCAAACATACAGGTATGTGTATCAAAGATTTGGACAAAAATAATAATGATATGGCTAAAGTCATGCATGTGTCCGTGAGAGTAGGTTATGTTACACCGGTCATGGCACAGAAGTAGTAAAAAACACAACTTTTCTTGCTATTTCTTTCCACTTCAAAGCGTTTGTTTTATTTTTCAGGACAACTTGAGGTGTTTCACAATGCTCTATTGAAGTACTGTCCAAAGCGACTTCATTTTCATTACCCATCAATGAAGGCACGCACTATGCTTGCTATCATGGATCACAATGAGAATCACTACGCAGATCGGGAACAAGCAACAACAGCAGCTGGTGGGTACTACATGACATGTAACATATAACATGTATGGAAGTAACATACATGTTACTTCCATACATGAACATGATATTCATATATGGCACAGACATATATAACTAGTGTTATTTTCACTTCTAAAAAGATGCTTGAAAGACAGTCCTAACAAATGTGTGACAACGTCTTGAAAGTAGAAATAAACGTTCTATCTTTTGAGCATGTTCGCTTACAATGTTTATTTATTCCAGGCCATCCAAGAACTAATGTTGCCTTCAAAAAACACTCACAGCAATGGATTTCTAAACCTATATATACGGAGACAACACAAATGTTTAGAGTCAACCTCATGGAAAGCGTGCTCAAAAGAAGAGTTGACCCTTCAGTAAAATTCAAAGACACATCATCCCATATCCAAGTACCTCGCCTGTCTGCAAACATTGCATCGGTACCAAAGCCCAATAAAGAGGAGGCCGTACAGTCACACACCTCAAGATTTAAAGGTTCATCACAGAAAGACTAAGTTGGTTGCCGCCTACAACCTACCCCGTAGAAAAATCCCGGAACGGTGTTGTACTTGTTTTTATGTATCAGAATGTGTGCGTGTGTTTGCTTCTATGCTCTACGCTTGTTGTGTTTATCTCCCCGTTACCAGACTTTCGGCTGCACAGCTTTGTTTTCCATGGTTACTGTAAACGTTTTCAATTGTTTTTGTTTGTTGATAAATGTTTACATTATTTTCACATTGTTTTCAATTTCTTTGGACCTTCAGCACCAAATATCCCTTTATGCATTTGCTGACCCCTGACATACATGTAGAAGGCAGTGTATGTATTGTGTAAGTGTAGGTATTCTGTTTTTATATTCAAATAGATTTGTCTTATAGTACCAAAAATGTGACAGGTCACTTGTTTTCCATGCAGACGTTCACAATTTTTACAACGCAATTGAAGATAAAGATGAATGAATAACTATCAGACATACTCTAAAGGTTGTATACATTTTTACATATAAAGCTTTAATTTTTTTTTAAATGTAGGTAGTACATTTCTGTCAATGGAACATAATGAGCATACTCTGGGTAGAGATGTACAATGATAGTGGGAAATCAATAATACAAAAGAAAAACATTTATTTTATGGCACCTTTCAAGTCACTAAAGGACAACTTACAATTAACACAAAATACAAATGTACATAAAATCACAGTGCATGTGCAGATTTAAAAAGGACGGTCTTGAGTTGATTTTTAAAATTTAAAAGTCCAGTTGACGGAGGGGCTGTTGAAAGTGTTACAGAGCTTTGGGGCAGAGTAGCTGAAAGCTCTGGCCCCATAGTGACCATTCGTACTGTGGGGATGGAGAGGAGACGAGACGGAGTGTGAAGGTGAAGCAGGCCAGATATTTATGGAGGAGCTAGAACACAAGTAGCTTTGTATTCTGGCACAAGCAGCAGTCCAATTGTCCCACAGATGTCCATAGCATGTAAAGTGCCCAGCACATTCCATCAAGTTATTAGGTCTACATGTCCATTGCTTCCTCTACGTCTTTGTATCCAATATATACACTGGACTCCGACGTATATCTTTTCCTTATAGCCCAGACCACACAGGATGGCAATGGTTTGCGATGGCCTCTGCCCAAGGTTTCACCCTGCAGGGCCCATTCCAGGACGATCCGGTAGGACACCAACCTCTTCTGACTCAGAAAACAGGGATATTCTAAGTATATGCACTGATAATAAATGACAACATGGTAAATGGCATATTTCAATGGTTTCAGTTAGCACTTACTCTGGGGATAGCTGGCCATCGGGTCCACTTGGTGTGGGTCTTTTTTTCCAATTGACTTTGTCCAGGCGAAAGAAAAAGTCGACTACTGCCTCATGAATCATTGCTTGAAACGCATCTGTCGCCGTGACACAAGTCCTTTGTCCATTCTCTGCCAGGTGAACAATGGCGCCCGTGGCCGATGGTAACACCTGGTCCCACTCGGAGCAACACAGACTCTCAATTTCATTCGGCATCTTTTCGCAACAGTCACATTTGCACCACCAATTGCTATTTGCCCGTGTTCTTTCTTCGATGGCTTCAGTCTGTAGTCGTTCTTGTCTTTGTTCCCTCTCATGGTCCATCTGGGCTAGTTCCTCCTCTGTATATTCAGGCTCAAAAAGATATGCCTCTGGATCCGCTGTAAACCATTCTTCCTCATCCACAAAGTCCGCCATCGTAAATTTTTCTTTTTAGTTTTCGTTCTAAAACTTGATGCTGCCTCAACTGTCCTCAAGCTAGCTATCCGATGTCTCTGCTTCTACTGTGTGTACAAGTCACGCTGCTTCTATTGACGGAAGTGAGCGAGAGAGAATTCTCCGGAGAGAAGTTAGTGCGCGGACGTAGCGCACCTCAGATTACTACGCCTCACAATATAGTACCCGTTTTATCCGCTGAGAAAATCGACAGTTACATTTCTGTGTTACTATACTTTGCAGTGTAACACGTCACGTAACTATATACATTTAATAGGGAACACTTGGGAGAGTTTGGTAGCTTCTAGCGGGAGCTACCTTTTGGTGCTACACAGTATACAGGGGAGGCTGCATTTGTCCTCCCGTTTTTGCTCCGTTTGCATGACAGAGCGCACGGACTAAGATCACACAGGTACGTATTAACTAGTCTAAGGTAAGGTAAGAACATATGTCAGTATGTAAAAACGGTGAACTATTCCTTTAATGAGGCTCGGTGGTCGGTCATGAAAATTCATAGTTTTTTACATCCCTAGTTGTAACTACTGTATAGTTGCTGCAGTTGCGACTCCAGCCTCTCATTTTCTTCTGCCAGTGCATCAATGAATCCTTTGGAAAAGCAAAGTACAATCTGATTTAAGTCAAGTGAAAAGCATAAAACACTTTGATCAAACTCTATTTATATGGCGCTTTTCATACAAATTGTGACACACAGGCACACACACTTGGCTAATAGACAAAGTAATGTTTAGCTAGGGCAATAACTATTAAGATTAAGAGATCCTTTATTCGTCCCACAGTGGGGAATTTTCAGTGTTGAATCACAAGTTATAGAACAAAGAGGAGCACACAGCACAAGTTAAGTGAACAATAGCTATACTAGTCAAAATAAAACAAAATCTCTAAATCTAGCATCAAAGAACAAGTATGAAATCTCTATCTTGAACATAATAACAATAAAAAGAATTGTAAAAGTGTTACATTTGCCAAAATAATAATATTCTAGTGCAAGCAATGTGTAGCTAGATAGATACTTTATTGATCCCCCGTAGGAGAAATTCAGGTGTCCAGCAACTGAAGACTCTTTTTTGTTGTTGTACAGTCAGTCAGGTTTGTTGTACAGTCTGACAGCCGAAGGAAAAAGGATCTCTTGAAACGTTCCGTTCGGCAGCGCAATATGTTAGCATCTGTACATTAGCAGCAGTATGTTTACATCTACATTATGTTTACTATAACTATAGCAAATTGATCATATTAAAAGGTAACCTAAAATGTACCTACCAGGTTTGGGATGAATAGCATAGTCGTGGTCAGCATTGGCAGCTAGCTCTCCCTCGCTCTCAGCTGTTTCCACCGTGTCTTCCTCCTCACGGAGATTGACCCCCAGCCTCTCGCTGGCTCCATCATGCACTGACCGGAAGTGGTCATACACGCATACTCATTTTCTTCCGCATTGTCACGTCAACCGTGAAATCGGCCTATTGCCCCTAATTCTTTGCGGTTCACACCAAAATGTCAGGAAAATGCATTTGAGAGTAAGTTTTGAAATATATATGCAATATGTGTGTGTCTATGTTTTACTATGTTACATGGAAAGAAGCATAAATGTCTGATGAAGAATTCCGAACATTCTCTGCTAACAATTTCATAACTTTTATAATGCAAGCATTCATTGAACATTCAGTTTACACTTCACACTTAGTACAATAAACTTAGAATGAATAAAAACTTACCAGATAAGTTAGTTACCGACATTAAACTTAAAATTATACAGCTATCTCAAATTACGAATATAACATACATTTATTTTAACGTGCGTGGAGTAACTCATTAACTACTACTTTTGTTTCCCACAGGCTCGGACGAAATTACCTTGATTTTTTATCAAGTTTAGGTCTGAAAATTACCATATCTTGACTAGTCGATGACTTAACCAAAACTGTCCCAATTCCGCCTTTTTTGCACGCTTGTAACCTTCGCACTCAAACCCTTGTGTGCACTTCAAACAAATGCACACTTTGTAGAGTGTAGGCTGCAGTGTGGGTATTGGGACAGGGCCAATATTGAGCAACACAATGGATACGGAACTAAATGTTACCAGTCATTGAGAAACACCATGGATAGGGAACCAAATGTAAAACATGAGAATACGTTATAATTCCTGCTACGAAAATGGGCCATGTAAAAAATGTAATAATAATGTAAAGAACAACAAGCAGCTCAATAAATTAAGAAGTGAGCTGTTGGAAATACAATACGATACAAGTGATCGCAGCTACAGAACACTTGCCAGACCAAAGGCAGCGTACCACACCCGGCAAATATTGCAGTTTGTGTTTACCTTTTTCACCAGCGTCTGAAGAAAATGTGGAAATACGCTCGACAAAATCAGCGAAAGACCGAAAATAAGAACGAAAATTGAGAGTATTCCTGTGCAGTAAACGCAGCATGATTGGGGCATGACGGCAGAATTGCAAAGTAAGTGTTGTTTCGATGATTCCGTTTTATTTTGACATATTCACTTCCGCTTTCAATGATGGCGAGAGACCGGTTCCGGGTCGGACGGTTCAACGATTATGATTTAAACATATAACTTAAAAAGAAGAAATGTATGAGAAAAATCACATTGGTAAAAACATTTAAAGTACTAGTCAATTAGCAGACCCCTGTATGTATATTTATTTTATTTTGTTTGTTCAATATTATTTTATTAATGTGCATGTTGTGTCTTTGCACTGTTGAGAAATGTACTTGTCTTTTGCACGCTTTGATTAATAAAAAAATAAAAAAAATCAAGAGGTTGTGTTCAAGAGGTTTTATGTTGAATACAGCGTGACGTTTTGACCTCTTTCCCAACAAAGGATTTCATTAAATCATCTTGTAAGCGTTGCTTATCCGAATCATGTGACATAACAATCTATCTACCTTATTTTATTTGAACATTCCAGTAAAAACGACTTTAAAAAAATAATAACATTAAAAGCATTGGTTTTATATGGCGCTTTTTTGGACACTCAAAGACGCTTTACATGTCATTATTCATTCACTCCAAACCATAGACTGTATATATTAACCCTACTCCAAACACGGTGGCTACTACTGTAGCCACAGCTGCCCTGGGGCACACTGACAGAAGCGAGGCAACCAGTATGTGCCTTCGGCCCCCCTCCAACCACCACCAACACAACCAACACACACGCCAGACTCATTCTTACTTAATATTGAGTAAATAATTTTAAAAACCGTTGAGATTTGGTAAACGTATAGACTTCTTTATGTTTGCAGACAATATACCGCTAGATGGCGCAATTGCACTGACCGAAGCCGAGCACATATCTACAACGTTGCTTTATACAGTTTTTCAGAGCTCAGTGGAGGTCTGAAATGTAGACATTGGATTCACGGCTCTTGTTTTTAGTGTAATTCTGTAATTCTAGTATCCCCAGTTTATCTCCCCCCCCCCAATTGAAAATTCAAAAACAAAAACTTCTACCTCGGACCTAGCTCGGACCTGAACATGAAAAATCAGAATAATGGAGCTGACGGAGCGGGGAGTGACGTCAGCGCGTTGAGCTGAAGACAAACAAGGCTGTGAGTCTGTAACTGAACTTTTAATGTTTGCACTCAGGACGGGGCTTCGCCAGCACTTGCTATAGGCTCCAGGCAAGAACCGCGGATACTGGGTTGTCCGGGGGTATCTGTTTGCCCCTTCTGTGCCACTTGTCTTTATGTTTCAGCCTGAACTCGTGTCAAGGTAGATCAGCGGTGTTCATTGTTTTGATTATCACGACCAATGTAGAGTCTAAAATCAGTGCTGAGATTGAAATTGTGCAGACAACGACATTGTAGAGCGCTTGTCTCGTTCTATCGTGTTAAAATGACATACTGCTGTTACAAGTGATAAGATTTACTGGGCATGTTTATGTTTCTGTACAGACGAGGACCTGGACCTCTACAGTCTACGCTTCTGCAAAGGGTTTATATTTTTCGAGCAGCAGTTTCCTAAAGAACCACATAATGAACCGCGAGGTAAACAGTATCGTGCTTGAAAATAAAATAATAAAATAAAAACTGTTAGAGATATTAACTGTTAGAGAAAATAGAGCGTTATGAGGCTGAGAACCTTGAGTGGTAGTTTTCAAAAAGCCTTCAGTAGCACACCCACCAGCAGCAGCCAAGCTTTGCACACTTTTCGCTGCCCAGACCCATGTCGCTACCTTTTTTTGACCGATACCTACACATTCAATTACGTTGTTTATTTAGGTACATTTATTTAAATATCTTAAGAAATAAGGTTCTGCAAGTAATAGCTGGTGCCCGTTACTGTTCAAAGCCTCTATTTCTGAAGGCATAACCATGTTTCCCAAGAATGCAAATAACAAAAGAATGACACCATTTATAAATCAAGCAGGAACTGCTTTTTGTCCTAGCTACTGGTTTAAATCCAGGGCTGATCACTCTAACAGTGTTTTATGGTGGAGATTTTTTTCACATTAGATTTAATTTTTGTTTTCTCTGTAGTGAGTGAAGAAGGTGACTGCACGGACTGGACTGAACATGAAGAGCCTCAAAGCCAAGTTTAAGAAAACTGATGTAAGTACTACGCGTGAGATGTTTGCTGCTATGCACAGCACTGCACATGTGGACATAGTCTTGGAATATTGGACTTGAATTTTACAGAAATCAAACTGTATTTGCCACTCCTTAACTGAATAAATCTATACCTCACCACATGGTATTTGAAACGAGATCTGCACTTCCCCCAAACAGTAGCAAACTGAGACTACCAAAGCGCTTTACAAACACTGTAGAGTAGGGCTGAAACAACTAATCAATTAATCGATGACTAATCGATTATTGAAATAGTCGACAACTATTTTAGTAATCGATTAATCGTTTTCTGGTTCACACGGACTCAAACAGAGCAAAAATGACATGAAAATGTAGTATTTTTAATTAAAACCGACTTTGTTTTTATAATTTCATGAATATCTGTCTGTCTCATCCAATCAGATAGCAGAATTAGCACAAAGAGCCTGTTACAAACATTTACTTTAAGTTTACGCCATCAATACGTCCTCGAGTGTTGCCACTTTAGCTTTTTGTGTAGAAAAAATATTTTTTTCTACACAATTCACAGCCAAGCGATTACTCGATTAATCGTAAAAATAATCGATAGATTAATCGATTACAAAATAATCGTTAGTTGCAGCTCTACTGTAGAGGCAAAAAAAAAATCCCTATCGATCACCTCCTAGCTTCCCTGCCGTTGGGGAAACCCCAAGCATGTCTCCTCAAACCACATACCATGTATTGTACTAGAGGTTCTTTAAAGGCCCCTATGACTAGTAATTCACAATAAACAATACAAATCCACTATAACTAACAGTTTACCTCCAAACTTTGCATCACCGGTGCGATCTAATACTTCCCTTTCATAGAAGGGGCACAGGCTTCTACAAACATAACAATACAATTATTTGAACTAATCCCAAGTGTGTTAAGATAAATTTGACCGTGTTAAATTTTACTGGCTCTAAAAGGGGAAAAAGCAAAAGCAAATAATTATTGCAGGACAAGAACTTCCAACAAAATCCTTCCAAATGCCAACAAAATTTACTAGCTTCCATAAGTGTGGTGTCACTTGGAAACAAAACAGTCCCATCACTTTGAACTACATGACAGGGTTCAAACAAATCCGTGTACCTGTCTCTGATTTCTTTAATTGTGGAGATCATGTAATTAGTAGGTGTGACATCAGATAGTACCTATTGACTGCAAAGTCTCTAAACTAGAGTCTGTGATGAATCACTATGGGGGATTAACACTTTTCAAGGTTTCACATTCATACTTGTGTGCATTTGTGATCAATCATGGAACTGAAGAATTACACTCACTGTTTACGGGACAAAACTAAGCCAGGGACCGGGAGTATTGATTTAAATTAAATTAATTCATCACAAAGTTTGGTTTAAATATGCTTAAATATTTGCCTGTGCGAATTGATGATCCTTTTTACTAGATCACCCTATGTTTCGGATCAAGAAATCAATCCAATTATAAAAATGTCATTCTTCTAAATTGTATTGCTGATTATGATGAGTTGATTAATCTGTGTAAGTGAGTAAGTAAGTAATCTTTATTTATATACCACCTTTCACAGACCAGAGTCACAAAGCGGTTTACAATTGTTATTTTTGGACATTTGTCCTCTCACTCCACACAGAGATGGGAGCAGGGTCGCCAGTACAGGAGGCGCATACCAGACCTTTTGGACATTTTTTTAGTGGTAGGGGAAACCGGAGCACCCGGAGGAAACCTACGCAGACATGGGGAGAGCATACAAACTCCACTCAGAAAGGCCCTGGTCCGACCGGGATTCGAACCTAGGTTCTTCTTGCTGAGAGGCGAGAGTGCTATCCACTCAGCCACCCTGTGCTGAGTAATAAATAATAAATAATAATAATAATAATAAACAGCCCTGTGCTGTTTATTATTACATACAATAGGACACAAATATATTTTATTTAACTTTTATCTAACTCTATGTATGTGAACCCGGAGCCCTAATATGAAATAATCATTGCAAATTATTTTAGCTATGTAGAGATACACAGAAAAGGTTATTGTTCAAGGAATGTTTCACTAAGTTCAAGGACATTACAGTTTCTCCATTTTCTTTATTTTTTAAACCTAGTATAAGGATAGAATCATTATACAATCGATAGATTGGGTTTGTTCACAGGCAGTAGTGTTGGCGGGATGAAAGACCAAGAGTTGCATTTCACCAAGGCCTTTCAAGGTCTTTTCCAACTTATGCGGTAACTTGCTCCATACACTTCGGCATGATCATCGAAAGGAGAATTTTGGCTTTTGTTGTTGCTTGTGCTGCAGTTTTTTGGACAACATTTCCAATTGATCTATTCCAGACCACAGGTGTCAAAATGACCTGTCTCATACAGTGTGGTCATAGGCTGTTCAATGGTCTCATCTGATGTCTCATCTGATGTTCAACTCAGAACATCACATTGTAAAACATTCTGAGATTGCATTTCCGTTGGAGGCTTTTATTATATTGAGAAATATTTTACATTTATCAGAGGCAAAGCAATACCGAAAACAGGGCAAGCTAATTCACATCCATGCTCTATTTTAAGCCCTGCGTTAGTAACCGTACACTCAGTGCTTTAAGTGGCCCAAAAAAAATGGCGGTACTCTTTTTATTTTTATTTTTTTTATTTTTTTTTTTCTTCTTTCTTTTTTTTGCCCAGGGTAATGTTTGTATGTTTTGTAGAATGCACTTATTTTTCCCTAAAGTTTTATTCACAACGGACAACCTTGTAAAAAATAATATATCAATTATATACATTCATTTAGGGATATGCTTGAGCTAAAACATAGTTACTGAAATAAATTAAAAATGCAAAATGGTAGTTACAGAATGTTGAACAAAAGGTGGTTGACATTAGACCCACGCACACACTTGTTTCTAACCAGGAGGACTGGCAGGTTTGACACTGATTCTGGACGTTTTTTTCTTTCATTAAGTCTCGCTTCTTAATATTTACTGTCTATGGTCTGACAACACCAATCCACAGAGACCATGAGGACACAGACATTGCCCTACATTGGCCATACTGTCCTCTTCACTTCTCCATAGACCACACCGTGAGAGCGTCAGTGTAGTCCAGGGGTCTTCAACCTGTATCTTGGTAGCTAACAGTAGCTCGCCAGCCTCTTTCAGGTAGCTACTCAAAGGATTTAGAATCTAACACATGATCTTGGATGATTTAACTTATTTTTTATGTTTTCTTTTTTAATTTTGCAGACAAACACATATACAGAAAAAAGAGAAACAAAGTAAAGGCCTAGTTCAGATATATCGCTTTCTTCACATTTGCAGATGTGAAGAGAACTGATGAAAGAGAGATGATAGGAGAGGATTAGACAGAGATTACTAACAATACAGTGGGGCAAAAAAGTATTTAGTCAGCCACCGATTGTGCAAGTTCTCCCACTTGAAATAATGACAGAGGTCTGTAATTTTCATCATAGGTTCACTTCAACTGTGAGAGACAGAATGTGAAAAAAAAATCCAGGAATTCACATTGTAGGATTTTTAAAGAATTTATTGGTAAATTATGGTGGAAAATAAGTATTTGGTCACTTCAAACAAGGAAGATCTCTGGCTATCACAGACCTGTAACTTCTTCTTTAAGAAGCTCTTCTGTCCTCCACTCGTTACCTGGATTAATGGCACCTGTTTGAACTCGTTATCTGTATAAAAGACACTTGTCCACAGCCTCAAACAGTCAGACTCCAAACTCCACTATGGCCAAGACCAAAGCTATCGAAGGAAAAGAATTGTGGACCTGCACCATACTGGGAAGAGAGAATCTACAATAGACAAGCAGCTTGGTGTGAACAAATCAACTGTGGGAGCAATTATCAGAAAATGGAAGACATACAAGACCACTGATAATCTCCCTCGCTCCACGCAAGATCTCATCCCGTGGGGTTAAAATGATCATGAGAACGGTGATCAAAAATCCCAGAACCACACGGGGGGACCTGGTGAATGACCTGCAGAGAGCTGGGACCATAGTAACATGGCACGGTGGCTGAGTGGATAGCACTCTCGCCTCTCAGCAAGAAGGTCCTGGGTTCTCCCCGTGTCTGCGTAGGTTTCCTCCGGGTACCCCGGTACCCCGGTTTCCCCTATCACTAAAAATATGTACAATAGGCCTGGCATGCGCCTCCTGTACTGGCGACCCCGCTCCCATCTCTGTGTGGAGTGAGAGGAAAAATGCCCAAAATAACCAATTGTAAACCGCTTTGTGACTCTGGTCTGTGAAAGGCGGTATATAAATAAAGATTACTTACTTACAGTGCCTTGTGAAAGTATTCGACCCCCTTGAACCTTTCAACATTTTGCCACATTTCAGGCTTCAAACATAAAGATATAAAATTTTAATTTTTTGTCATGAATCAACAACAAGTGGGACTCAATCGTGAAGTGGAACGAAATTTATTGGATAATTTTAACTTTTTTAACAAATAAAAAACTGAAAAGTGGGGCGTGCAATATTATTCGGCCCCTTTACTTTCAGTGCAGCAAACTCACTCCAGAAGTTCACACCAAACATGTAGAAGAAGAAAATTTCGATGCGGCGCGGCAGGCAACGTAAGGGCCTTGCGGTGACCAACGCGTTGCGCAAGTGACGTCACGTCACCTCCGCGCCGCGCAAGTATACACTAGGCTTAACACACTACGACGACAGGGAATCAAATCCTGCAGTGCCAGACGTGTCCCCCTGCTGAAGCCAGTGCATGTCCAGGCCCATCTGAAGTTTGCCAGAGAGCACATGGATGATACAGCAGAGGATTGGGAGAATGTCATGTGGTGGAGGAAGAATACTGAGTTGCATCCCAAGAACACCATACCTGGGGGTGGAAACGTCATGCTTTGGGGCTGTTTTTCTGATAAGGGGACAGGACGACTGATCTGTGTTAAGGAAAGAATGAATGGGGCCGTGAGATTTTGTGCCAAAACCTCATGCGTGGCCTGGTCCTCGTTTTGTAGCTTATGTCCTTGATCTATAACTCGTCCGTCCGTGTGGAGAGGATCCCTCTCTCAATGTGGATCTCCCTGGGGTTTGTCCCCCACTGGGTTTTAGAGTTTTTTCTTGCCGATGCAGGAGGGTCTGCTAGAATTTTAGTGGTCTAACAATAAGGACTGTGTGATGATCCAGGACACATTCTACAACATTTATGGACATTTATCAACATTCATGGACATTGGTCTCTCCCTATCGACCAATACCTAGGTTTTGTGTCTTAATTGACTTTGATGGTTCTGTTAAGTCCTCTGAGATGACTACTGTTGTGATTTAGGGCTATACAAGAATAACGTAAATTGTGTTAAATTGAATTGTGTCCTTGGGCAAGACACTTGACCCCAATGCCCCCGCTGAAAGATCAAGACCGCTCAGAGCAGAGCGGCCATCTTTCTGTGGACCTACTACCTCCAGAAGGATCAGTGAGGTGCTGGTGCTATAAGGAGTGGCGGCTCCTTATAGCAAACCCCTCCCCGACCCAGAAGAATAGATGGATGGAATTCTAGGGGTGTGCTGTACTCATTGCTTCTTCTTTTTCCCTCTGCAGACAAACGAGTGGAACAAAAACGACGAGCGCCTCCTCGCTGCTGTTGAGGTTGGAGAAGTAGACAAGGTGACATCTCTGCTGGCAAAGAAAGGCACCAGTGCTGTCAAACTCGACAGTGAAGGCAAATCGGCGTAAGTCTTTTGAAAAGTGTATGTGTGATTTATTGCTCTTCAGAGTAGGGCTGTCGCAATAAAAGATTTATCCAGTGATCACATGATAACTAAAAATGAGGTTGCAAAGTCAGACGGAAATGGAGCCTTGATAAGTTCCATGGGTGCAAACCTGTGTTCACTCTTAGTCACTCGTAGTCATTTGCCTACCGACTCTATAACGCATGGTTTCTGTGTTGCGCAAATGCTAGAGGCATGTAATGTGACCGGTCGATTCTCCCGCCCCGCTGCCCGACCTCTTTGCTGCTGTACAGTATGTGTGTGCACCCACCACGAGAAGCAAGCGTGGATGTAATATATATGTATGTATTCGAACGGGATTCCGCATCCTCTGTTGCTGCAGCGGTCTGACCCAGGAGCAGCTGCGGCCGATTTGTAGTGAATGACAGCAGTTCCCGTATCCAGCGGTTGTGAGCCATTTTGACAACAGCGCGGCGAGCACGCAGCCGTAAAGTGGCCGTAAAAGGGACCACAGTGCGGACCTTAGACGGACAGGAGCAATCTGTGCTTGTTGCAAGTGTGTGTCTGTCTGTAACCTGTGCACGCAATAAATAGGCTGTCAGTGTCCATGTCTCCCCCTGCATCTCCTCTTAAAGCACAGAAACTAAAATTCACTAGATTAAAGCTAGGGTACCTACATTTCCCCTGCATTAAAGCTGCACGAACTGACTTTATTTTCGTATTCATTACAAAAATACTATCCATATCCATCCTTTTGAGAATAAGTAGCGCAGATTTGTGGGGTGACATTATTTTAGATCGAGTTTTGATGCATTGGACCAATCACCGCGCACCACTATACATCCTTTTGAAGAGCAGCGCACAGAGAGGGAGCTCATTTGCTCGCGATTGAAAAATTCTCAAAATCAGTTAGTGCAGCTTTAATAATGCATGTTGATAACTTGAGCTCAAAAGTAAAAACAAGCTATACACAGGTTTTCATCACTTTCGTCCAGAACATGTTTTTAAGAAGTCTAAGTATATTGGTTTTTCAAATGGTTTATTTGCTGTGTTTATCTCAAAATGGCGATATTAATAATTTATGGGACGATTAATTGTCAAGGAAACTTTTTTATCGGGACAGCTCTACTTGAGAGCATCATAATCAGTGGGGGCGGGTACTGGTGTTTAATTAGATCGAGTTTTTTCCCCATTCTATCGAGTGTCTGCGCATGCGCAATCAGATTTGGGTTACAGTAGCAGTGTGGTTTCACAGGAGCAGTGAACTGCTTAAAACAAACTTTACACGAAACTCTTAAGGGGCGTTCACACCGGACTTAACTTTGACTTCAAAAGCGTCAGGTTTGCATTGAAAGTGAATGATGAAGCGCCTCAGGTGACGCCGAGCCGCAGCAGCAGCGGGTCTGTCTCTGTCATGGAGAGAAGTCATGTAGCTGCTGCTGCTGCTGTTTTATTGTCAGTATTCTTATTAGTAATACTATTGTATGAATAGTAACGTTCTTAATAAATATGTAACAAAATCATTGTACACATGCTGTGAAGTAATTTATTTAATATAAGAACAAGCTGACGATGAGTCTGGCACAGAGCGGGAGCGAGGCAGCTCCAGGCGGACAGAGGGGAGAGAGAGGTGGGTAGAGGGGAGCGAGGCAGCTCCAGGTGGGGAGAGGGGAAAGAGAGGCGGGTAGAGGGGAGCTCCAGGCGGGCAGAGGAGAGCGAGAGGCGGGGAGAGGTGAGCTCCGGGGTGCGGGAACTCAAACTGGGCGAGTGACTTGGGAAAGTACCGCTGAAAGCGAAACTCCTCCATACGCTGCTCCTGGAGTAAATGACGGAACTCTGCAAACACTGCAGCCTCTCAATTCTGTGGTGAACCCAGAACATGTTTTGTAGAAGCCCTACGACAACGTTATTTGGCTTTATATAACAAATAAAGGCTTGCTGCTCTCTGGAATATCCACCGTTGTCTGACTACCGGCAACAGAGAAGCTCCTCCCATCGGCGTCAGGCGCGTCTCTCGCGTCAAAAGCTTCAAGCACCAAAATGACAAAAACAACCCGGCGTCAGTTGACGCGCGTCAAAAGCTTTTTGAAGCTTTTGGTCTGAACGCACCATTACTCTTAAAACCCACATATCACAAGACGGAACCATCAACATCTCGCCTCAAATTGCATCAAAAGTGACATTTTTGTCTTAATTCGTTCATGTCCGCCATCTTCAGATTCAGATTCAGATTCAGATTCATTTATTGGCCATGTGCAGTATAAAACCTACATTGGAATACATTTGCAATAAAAGGTACTCTGTGTGCACCGACAGAATAAAAGCACGATACAATGTAATATAAAATACACATACACTGAATATAAAATAATAAAAAAAAAAAAAAAAAACAGCTGACACTGTGGCACCGATCAACAAAACGATACAAGGGGTAAAAGCAGGAATTAAAGTGCTCTGTTTAGGCACCTAACAGCCTGTGGAAAGAAGCTGTTAGCATAGCGCGATGTCTTGCATCTCAGTGACCGATATCTTCTGCCAGAGGGAAGAAGCTGGAACATGGCTTTCCCAGGGTGGCCAGAAGAGTCACCGATGATTTTAAGAGCTTTGTTTAAAAGTCTGGATTTGTAAAGAACCTCCAGAACAGGAAGCTCACAGCCCACGGTCCTCTTTGCAGAGCGGAGCACCTTGTTTAAAGCTCTCTTTTCTTTATCTGTGATGTTTCCAAACCACACAGACACAGAACCAACAAGTAAACTCTCAATGGTGCAGCGATAAAAATTAAGCAGAATCTTAGAATTAGTGGTAAATTCTCTAAGTTTCCGCAAAAAGAAGAGCCGCTGACGAGCTTTCTTAACGACCCGGTCAGTGTTTTTAACCCATTTCAGGTCGTTAGACAGAGTTAAACCCAGGAACTTGCACTCCTCTACGATCTGCACCTGGGAGTTATCAATAACAACAGGAGTGTGAGAACTGCTACGACTGAAGTCAAAGACAAGTTCACATGTTTTTGCAGTGTTCAGCTGGAGATTGTTTACTTTACTCCACTGAAAAACATGTTCGATCTCTGCTCTATAAGAGGAATCATCATTGTCACTGATGAGACCGATGATGGTGGTGTCATCAGCATATTTGATGATCAAATTTGAGTCAGAGGAGGACACACAATCGTGAGTGTACAAAGTAAAAAGCAGAGGACTCAAAATACATCCCTGAGGAGAACCAGTGCTCACAGAAACAACATCAGAAAAACAGCCATTGATTTTTACTCTCTGAGATCTGTCAGTTAAAAAGCTAAAAATCCATTTACACATGGCAACATTCAGACCAAGGGACATTAGTTTTTCAACCAATATGCTTGGGACAAGACAATTAAAAGCAGAGCTATAATCAATGAAAAGCATTCTCGCGACAGATTTACTAGTGTCCAAATGAGTGTAGACAGAGTTCAGAGCAAAGGAGATGGCATCCTCCACACTCCTGTTCTGTCTTGGTTTGCTTCGGCTGCCGTACGACGCGCATGCACAGGTTTGAATTACATCATTAACAGCTGAGGGAGATCATCTCGACGGGCAGACCAACTTGACAGAACACTGGATCAAAAATGATAAGATGAGATAAGAATTCCTTTATTCGTCCCACAGTGGGGAAATTTCGATGTTGCAGCGCATATACAGGACAGTAGTAAGAGCACACAGGGAGCACACACAATATATACAAATAAGTAGTAGCTATGTTTCTTAGCTAACATAACTAGCTGAAGATGCTGAAAATGCTTCAATACCAGTCAAAAGATACAGTGCCTTGCGAAAGTAATCGGCCCCCTTGAACCTTTCAACATTTCGCTACATTTCAGGCTTCAAACATAAAGATATAAAATTTTAATTTTTTGTCATGAATCAACAACAAGTGGGAAACAATGGTGAAGTGGAACGAAATTTATTGGATAATTGGATATTGGATAAACTTTTTTAACAAATAAACTGAACAGTGGGGCGTGCAATATTATTCGGCCCCTTTACTTTCAGTGCAGCAAACTCACTCCAGAAGTTCAGTGAGGATCTTTGAATGATCCAATGTTGTCCTAAATGACTGATGATGATAAATAGAATGCACCTGTGTGTAATCAAGTCTCCGTATAAATGCACCTGCTCTTTGATAATCTCAGGGTTCTGTTTAAAGCCCAGAGAGAACCATGAAGACAAAGGAACACACCAGGTAGGTCCGAGATACTGTTGTGGAGAAGTTTAAAGCCGGATTTGGATACAAAAAGATTTCCCAAGCTTTAAACATCTCAAGGAGCACTGTGCAAGCAATTATAATGAAATAGAAGGAGTATCAGACCACTGCAAATCTACCAAGATCCGGCCGTCCCTCCAAAATTTCATCTCGAACAAGGAGATGATCACTGATCGGAGATGCAGCCAAGAGGCCCATGATGACTCTGGATGAACTGCAGATAACCGCAGCTGAGGTGGGAGAGTCTGTCCATAGGACAACAATCAGTTGTGCACTGCACAAATCTGGCCTTTAAGGAAGAGTGGCAAGAAGAAAGCCATTTCTCAAAGATATCCATAAAAAGTCTCGTTTAAAGTTTGCCACAAGCCACCTGGGAGACACACCAAACATGTGGAAGAAGGTGCTCTGGTCAGATGAAACCAAAATCGAACTTTTTGGCCACAATGCAAAACGATATGTTTGGCGTAAAAGCAACACAGCTCATCACCCTGAACACACCATCCCCACTGTCAAACATGGTGGTGGCAGCATCATGGTTTGGGCCTGCTTTTCTTCAGCAGGGACAGGGAAGATGGCTAAAATTGATGGGAAGATGGATGGAGCCAAATACAGGACCATTCTGAAAGAAAACCTGTTGGAGTCTGCAAAAGACCTGAGACTGGGACGGAGATTTATCTTCCAACAGGACAATGATCCAAAACATAAAGCCAAATCTACAATGGAGTGGTTCACAATTAGACGTATCCAGGTGTTAGAATGGCCAAGTCA